TTAATTACTTGCTAATGACCAGTTTGCTTAATGACTTTTCAAAAAATATCGTGATTTTGGCATTAGATGTTAAAGATTTAGATTATAGGATTCTTTTTAAAAGGAAAAAATACAAATGTACACATTTCTGTTATTAGTTATAAATAAAAAAAATAACAAATTTCTTTTAATTTACATGCCTTATAAATTTAGAAAAAAGTGTCCCTAAACCGTGAAATGCTAACATTTTATATTGAGTTCACTTAAGCAAATGGTACACAATTTTTGAAACAAAAACAAATTAGGAACTTTTCATTTAATATGTCAATCATAACGGTGTTTTTATTAATGTAATATTAAAACATTTCCTGTAAAGATTTATAATTATTATGCATGACAAATATCGGCAAAATTTACATTTTTAAATTTTTCTAAATTTAAAGTAGTAAACACATAATTTATCTGTTGATCCAGAATGACAAACTCTTCGTTCTCTTTAATAAATCTCATTTAAATCATCGAAAAGTATTACCATCTGTGATATCTTTTAAGCGATCTTTAGCTGAAAGAAGTTAAATAAAATATTACGAAACAAAATAAATGTAAGCAGAATTTTGCTTTATGCTAAATGAGTAAACTTGTGTAGGTACACAGTTTCAAGTATATGGTACTTACATCATAATGTATATATTTATGCAAGATACTCGTTTATCTGATAACAAAAATTTTTACCTATTATAAAAGTTTTATTTTATGAACATAATTTAGATATTTATTTCTCTTTTATCTCAGTGCAAAGTATGACTTCATCAAATTATAGGAATAATGATGCATTTGATGTGTGCTCAGAGACAGCTGTTTATGGGAAATTCATGTTTATCATTTTATAGTTCTTATCGAATGAACTTTAGAAGCTGAATTGATATTTTGTGTTTTAAATGCCACGATTCATTGCAGGTATTTTATAAATTTTAGTAATATGTTGGGAAAAATCAAAATACACAAATTTTCACTGAACTTGTTTCCGACAGACAGTTATATGTGACACAAATACTTAATTAATAGTTATTGCATTTATTGTTTTTTAAGATTAAAAAAATTGATTTTCTAAAATAAAAAGTATCTCAAAAATGGTATCTTTATATCTTAATATGTTATAAACTTAATACTCAACTATAATTTTAATGCCCAATTGAACAAATCAGTGACTCTCAGCTGTTAACATTCAAATACAAATCATAACAATAGTTTTATACTACATTTTGTCTTTATAAGCATTAAAATATGGGATATTTTGCTTTCTTGTACTTTTATTCTTCTGTTTTTATTTCACCCGTATAGTCTTACCACCTTGAGGATATCCATGTTATTGGTTTCTAATCATGGATAAAATAAAAATGTGTTGCACAATTAATTTAAAATAAACATATTATAAGGTAACAAAACAGGTTCCATAAAATAACGAAAAATTGTACAAATCGTTGTGTCGTGGCAAAGTAAATAATTAGTAAATTGTGACGTGTATATGAAAGTAAATTGCGATGAATATATTATAGCTGACTACTCCATAAAATAATACATTATTTCATAACATGACCTAGCGTAACACGTATATGTCACGATAGATCAACATGGGTCCCATTCCCGCAACACGTGTGGAAAAGCCAGTATTATTATAATAGGTGGTTTCTATGGAATATCGAAAACTTAAAGAGTTTGATTTAAGTAAATAAAATGACATTATTTACCATTTTTTGTTTTAAAATCATTTAAAACAAAAATAAATATAGATCACTATGCTTTTAAGTAAGCAGGATTGAAAGTAGCAGGAAAAGCAGCAGGATTGAAATAAAATTAAGTTGCATTGGTCGTACAAATTTTCACGTCCACATTATTTTTCAGTCAAAAATAATTAACAATTTAATTCAAAATAGTTTAATACTGAAATAAAGTTATTTTATGATTATGTGACCTACGCATTAAATATTTATGATTAAGTGACAAATTAGACTATGAGTTACCCTAAAACATTTGATTAATAGCAGAAAAAGAACTGTGATATTAAATTTTTGCTCTGATACAAGTATCATTTACAGCATTTAAGGACAGAAGAGTTTTAATAGGGCATGATGTCCCATGGTGATAAGTTTAATCGTTACTTTTTTCAGAGCTTATTGCTTAAAGAACTATAATTGCATGTATAATGCCGCATTTTCTTTTCAAACTATATTCGGTTTTAGAAAAAAAGAATTTAGTTCGATGGAAGAATTCAACTTCAAAAGTACTGTCATGGCACAAATCAGTATATTTAATCAAATTATCATTAATTACTAAATCATTACTTGACAAACCAGATGAGATAACTTAGATGTTTATCCTCACTATGAATTAGGAAATTAAATATTATCCAAAGGATATTTAATTTCGGAAAATGTATTAAAATAGCTTTGTTTCTTTCCGAGTTTAGATTAACGTTTTCTGCTGAAAAACTATCAGTCAAGTTAAGGATTGTCCAATCAGGTTAGTCAAAACCTTATTGTAAGCTTTCCTCACCAGTTGAGAAATTTGGTATTTGGTAAATACCAAATTGCTTTCAGATGCTTTTCGCCAGTTTGTTACCGTTCAGTAGGGGATGTCCATATCTTGCTCCAATTGAACAAGCACGATTTACAACTGCACACAAAGTACAATAAATTATACTGTGTGCAAATTAAGCAACGTTTCAAACTGAATGTCCAATATTCAAATAATAGTGAACTATCTGACAGAGAAACAAGTAATTAGAAAACTTAATTTAATTAACAATTGTAGTGTGTATTTAATAATATTTAAGTCTATGAAAACTTCCAAAATGACTACCAAGTCTTATAAAATTATGCTTGATACTTAGAATCCGAATCCTACTTGTGCTTCAAAATCTCCTGAGCTTTGTTTCTCCTACATTACGAAAATTCTTTTCTATTGCATTTTCATCCGTTGAAATTTTAACTGAATATATTTAATTCCTACTTCCTAAATATAAGTGAAAAGTGTGGACGAGGGATATTTGAGACTCACATAGACCAGTAATGTTTCATATGATACAGAATCATAAAACTTATGTTTTCGTCTCTGACTGATCACATTACAAGTATAAGATAAGCATATTTATGAATGGTGATCAGCAAAAAATTATCAACATAATGCTTAAATTGGTAAAATTATTAATATTAGTCACACATATATAAATCATTTCATTGTCACCATGACATTACACAAATGCTTAATATGTAACATTTGTCAGTTGCAGCAGGGAATAAAAAATAGAAGCAGTACGGCAGTACTTGCAAGCAAAAACAGCTCCTAGTATTGAAAATAAGTAATTTTTAAAAGAAAACAAATACAAATATGTTGTTTTTGTTATATTCTTCGTGTATGATTAAAAACTCATTGCTTATAGTTTTTTAAGTATATCTAATTTTTATTTTAAATTAGTAATGGAGTATTGAATGAGAGTAACGCTTGTTGTTTTCAAAAAAAGCAAGTGAAAAATTTATGTTTATGAAGGGACAAATATTATAGATTTATGAAACCATCAATTTCTGTAATTTCTCCACCCAATGTTTATATAATTTCCCAATGTTTATATTATAAGGCTATATGTAAAAGACTATGCTGACTATTTAATTTTAGAGGTTATTTATAAAAGTCAGTGCTGGCTATTTATATGTAAATGCTAATGCTTTGAATAATTTAGTTAAGATTCTTACAATTTTTTTAAACAGTAGTTTCTAAATGCTTATAAATTTGTCTGAGGTGTGTTTAACATCTGCAACATCTGATAACACTTCTTGTGCCAATAATTTTAAATTATTATGAGAGGTTTCATGAAACAAGTCTCATTTCTCTTTAAATGGCGTTATCGGAATCCTGTAAGTCAAGCAATGGTGGTTAAGACAAATTATTAGCAACTGGCCATTTATATATAAAATACCTTTAAGGTTGGATGCAAAGACTCAACTAAAAGGTATAGGCACATGAAACCCTTAGTATCTAAGAGAAACTTGATCAAAGTTTTGTTTGCTATTTCTGAACAACATACTTAACTACTAAAGGTTATAATTATATTTGCCCGAATCTGCTTCTTGTTTTAAATTTTTAAACATTTCATTTACTATTATAAAACAATATTTTATTTTTAATATTTCCAGAATCATTACCTCTGCGATTTTTATATTCCTCTAAAACCAGAAACGTAGTAAATTTTTCAAAATTCTGATACTGCATATTTTTTACTTTTTTGATGCATATTTTTTACTTTGTGTAATGATACGCAATTGCCCAACTTGTCCTATTTATATATCAGAATGGATTGATACGGGTTAACGTAATTCCATGCTGATGAGGATAACTGGGACTTTGTTTGTCACGTGATTTATTTATCCAAAAAGAATAGTCAGCTTTAATCAATTATTACTAATTAGACAACGAATTTTTTATTCAATATTTAAATATATGTGTATATAATTGCAATTAATATATTTTTTTTCTTAAAAATAATTCCGTCAATTTCATTAATTCTTTATTTTTATAAGAAATTGTAAAATTACATTGTAAAATTTACAAAAATCATTCAAACGAACAAAATGCTGCGAAAATAAATCAAAGTTATATGACTTTAAATTCAATTTTATTCTTTTAACATTTCAGATTCATTTCAGACTAAGTTTAATCAATTGATGATTAAATTTAATCTGAAATGAATCTGAAATGTTAAAGTAATAAAATTGACTTTAAAGTCCTATAACTTTGATTTATTTTTGCAGCATTTGAGTTCATAAATGCTGATAACAATGATCAAATATGAACCCAATGCATCTATTTTGCATGATATTAAACTCTGAACAAATAAACGAAGCCATATTTTGTTGGATAATAGATAGTAAATGCTTGAAATGACGACATTAATTTTATCTTCCTTCTACAATTGGCGATTAATCAATAACAGTTTCTCGACATTTTCCAGAATCAATGATATTACTTTCTTTACATAATTTATTAGGCTACGAATAAATTTAAATTAAGAGAGTTAAAAAATTAAATGAACAAATGTTTAAATAAGCAAAGACTTTCAATTTAATTGCAGTAAAATGCTATAGGTTAAAATCAATTGCACTCTATGAGATTAAGAAAAAAATTTTAAAACTCATCTTTAATCAACGGATTAAAAATAGTATTTTTAAGGATTTTAAACATTAAATTTTGGCGATAATTTTGGCAACATTTTTTTTTCAGAAATCATTGTTTTTTTATTTCTTCTTACCTGTTACACCAGTATTGTGACCGATGTCTAGGAAAAAAAATATATAGCATCAAATAAATTTTTAATTTCTCTTCCGATTTCTTACAAATACTGGATTGATCTAAAAAGAGGCTTAGTTTCATTAGATTCTTTGAGCACCATGAATTCCTTTACCTTAGTCCTCGCATTAGTAATTTTGGCAACTGGTAAGTAAATAAAAATATATCTTTTGCTCATAAGTTATATTATTTTTTATGATAAATATATAAATTTGCCTCAAATCACTAAAAAAAATTACATAAGAGAAAATTTTTATCACTAGATATTTTTAATTAACTAGCATATCAGTGAATAATGTAACTACGGAAAATATAATTCTTAAAGATTTAAATTTGGAAATTATTTTTAGTTACTTATTTTTTATTAGAGATATAAATTAATCATTAAAAATTAGAAAATATATCATTTTGAAAATATATATTAATTCAAAGTGCATCACCAAGGTTTTTATTTTTATTTTTTACGCATTATTATCGTTACGTTTCTTGCAAAATTTAATAGAAATAAAAATTTCATGATTTTCGAAACATAATTTAAAATTTCAAATTAGTAATTCTAAAGAAATATATATTTTATTATATAAAAAATATTTCACGATAAATACTTTTTTTAAAATGATTTCGGTCACCGATTCCTTCGGTTGATTTGATGTTATTGTCATTTTTTTCTGAAAATTGATAAAAAAAAGATCATTTTTCTGTGAAATATATAGTTATTGCAATTTTATATCAGCAATTTTTTTAATGTGGAATTCTTAACGAACTATATTTGAAATGCAGAATGCACTGTAAATACAGATTGTGCGACACGATACGAAGTGATTTTGCATGTTAACAATATAAAAATGTAATCTAATATCGAATAACTTTTGGTAGCAGTTTTTACATCATTTATAAAGTCATCAGTATCAGCAATCAGTATTTTTTTTAAAAAATCAATGCAAATGTTAATGCTTACATCAAGCAATTTCTAATCTCTCATTTTCTTATTGTTTTTATTACATTTATTCAATTTTTATTACTTTTGACATCAGGACCAAAGTATGCTCATAATACACATAAGAAATATTCACATAAGAAATATTTTTCTACAATGGACATTACAAGGAGGGATATATATTCATTATTTCAGCAAAACAGTAAAAGTAACAAAAGAATATGAAAAATAACCTAGAATACAGATGACATGCGTACAAAACTAGATTTTCAAAAGAAAAGAAAAATGGCGTTATATTTAAAAATTAGAATGAATGACTTTTTCAGTACTTTGTAATTGCGATTCTAAGGACTGCAGAGTAATCTACGCAGTGTTTTTCTATTGCGAGTTTAACAATTAATTATCTTCAAACTAAACATCTAATGTTATTTCATCTATTATTAACAAATTTTCATAATTTCAAGTCATATAGTTTTCGCGCAAAGCTTTTACAATTTTCTACTATAGGAAAGCAAACACGATCTTATTATAACTACTTAATTGTTCTTCTCTATATAAACAATAACTAATAGTTATTTGCTATCAAAATAATAGCTTATTGCTATTTTTTATCAAAATAATGGCTAATTGTTATTAATCCATAAAACACGGATTAATTACCCGAATAAACTAATTTGAAAATTATTTTAAATCCATATTCTTTCGTTATTTTAAAGCCTCTTATAGCATTTTAAATAGAAAAAAATTAAGCTAACCCTTTTTCATACCAGTCACTGCACTATATTCCAATGCTTGATAAATGTACCACTGCACTTTATCCTGCTTGATAAATTTACTGAAAATTTGTTACAATGCATCATTAAAATATATATATTTTTTTCAAAAGTTTAAGATATGAAGCAGATTTCAGAGAAAACTACTACTTTTCTCAATTTGTTTTAGCGAATGTAAAAAAATGTATGGAGTTTCTAATTGCATATTTTGTAACTTGATGATTTAAATTTTGAAATTTGATGAATGTTTTTTCCATCTGAGCTATAAAAGAAAATTTAATACAGGGAAATAAAAGATAATTCGATACTTGTATTATGCTAACAAACATCTCTCAGTAATTTGTATTTGCATTGTATTTTCCCTGTTATTAAGTTTCAAAAAATAAAAGGCTCCATAACATATAAAATAATATTTGACTGGTTTTAAGATTAAAAAAGGAATTGTTTTTAAATTTGAGTAGAAAAAAGTAATACTGTTGAAAATATTGCTTGTCTCTTTTAGTTAGTGCACGCCCCGAACGTAAGTAGAAATCTAAAATATGATGTAACAAATATACAACTAATGTCTAAATTATTAAATAAATGAATGTATTTTTGATTGTAAATTTATATTTACAGCGGGTGGTAAGTACTCACTTAAAAAGGCCTTTTTATTTTCTGATATAAGGATGCTTAAGTTCATTGAAAATTAATTAAAAGGAATTTTTAGCATTATTGTGATCATATATAAAAACAGCTTTACACTATTTATTTGAAATAAGAAATTTGTTCAATAATTTATAATAATAGTTTTTGCACCGCTAAAAATTTATTTGATTTCCCTTTAAGAAATACTTATAAATCACTGGTTATTGCAAAACAAATATTTTATTTCATTTGGTGGTAAATATCTTGAAAATGCATAAAAGAGATCATCAGTAAAATAAATACTACTTAAGTAATAACAGATTTTATCGAGTTAAAAAAATATCAAATTATCAAAATGACCACAAAATAAAGATATTAGTTTAATTAGAAATGTTAGCCTAATATTAGATAGCTAATACTTTGGTGATCAGTTATTTTTTTAAGCATGGGGAAGTCCATAAAAAAATCAATACATTGAGTTTGAATATTCTCTTAGTTTATTCTGTTGTTACTCTTTAGTTATATGTCTCATTCAATTTCTGAAATTTTTTTTCAGTTCACAGAGTCAGTAAGTGTTCTTTTTTGTATTGTCGAATTTAGATCTAGCTCTTTCTAGGGTAAAATGAATTTCATTGATGACTCAGGAAAAAAAAATTTTTTTTGTTGCTTTTTTACAAATATTTCATCTCGCCTTTCTCGGGGTTGAATTTTTCAAATTTGCAAATAATTTTTGTTTTTAAAACTGAAGATTGCTATTTTTAATTATTATTTAAAAAGTAATCCGTATTCTGTAAATAAAGTAAAAGTAATCTGTATTATTATTTCTTAAAACGTTATTAAAAAAAACTGTAGATAGATGAGAGTAACAGATTTCAGATTAGCAACGCCAAAATGTCCAAGATTCATTAAAAAACCTCTTTAACAAAACTGTAGATAGGTGAAAGTAACGGATTTCAAATTTGAAATAAACAATGCCGAAATATTTAAGATTCATTGAAAAATCTCATGTGACAGAAAAAAAAAGAAAAATAAACCCAAGTTTAATAATACAACTAAGATAAAGTGCCATTTTGGAAATAAGTATCAATTGCATGAATATTTGACAATTAGTTTTAATGAACAACGATGCATCTTGGTACTACAAATCTTTCCTTTTACTCTGCTTCAAGTTTTCTCACCGAATTGGCATTTTTTGCATGCATCTCTCAATTTTTAATTAGCTGTCCTCCTCGTTGACTTTGCATAATTAAGGTTAATGAAACGCTGTTTCAGAAACTCAGTTTGTATAAAAAATCGTGTTCTTTTGTTAAATTAATGTAAGAAACTATAACTAAAATACCATTAAAACTACTCTGAAGTGTATGCAACATTTCAGATGCCAACTATGTCATCTAACAAAGGACACACTGTCCAGAATTCCGGCTCAAGTATCAGTTTTACCGTAAAATCCGTTTTTCCGGATTATGTTACGGCTCCAAACATCTGATACACCGTAATTTTTAAAATTATTACCGTAAAATCACTGAATCACTATTAAATAATTATTATTGTAAAAATTATAACGTAACATTTTACAGCATTAATTACATTAATTACCGTAAAATCACTGAATCACTCTTACTAAATAAATATTATTGTAAAAATTACAACATAAAATTTTAAAGCAGAAATTAATTTTGCAATTGATGCATTCAAAGTGACAGAAATTTATACCATAATTTCATTTGGATGGTGTAAAGTGTATATATTTTCAGTGTATAAATTCATTTTGAGATTACATATAACTTAACATTTCGTTTCCAATTTTTTTTCAATTCCATCTATCATGTTTTGAAGTGTACAGTCATAAGGAAACGCATTTTAATACTTTCTATGTATCTTTACTACAAAATACTTGGAGTCCTATAACAATGGTATGAAACAAAATTATATTTTCGAATTTTAATCGAAATGAATTTTGTAAATTTTTTGCTATAAGATATTTGATTTTAAAACGAATTTAAATCATGTTTTCAAGTTATTCTCTATTTTTTATGTTCTTTTTGTCATGTAAAACTTTAAAGTATCTTTAAATGATTTTGCTTATTTATTTATTATTTATTAATGTATGATATTATTTATGATTTATTTATTTATGATATTATGTATTTATTTATTTATTTTACAGCGGGACAACTTGTTACACGCGGTAAGTATGTCGAAACAATCGACATTTTAAAGCGCATTTCCCAGATTTCTAAATTTCCTTTAAATATTTCATTAGTTATTTTACTGTTTAAAGATATAAATTACCAAAGAAAAAAATTTATTACTCCTACACATTGATTGCTCACAAATTCAGGCAGATTTTGATTTAAAAAATTATGATTAGTGATATTTCAGATTATACACTATCTGCCAATAAGTATTTGGACACCTATGCAAATGACTATATCTGCGGTCTTGAGATACGTCACGCCCTACGCCGGTATATATCGTGTAGGGAGCAACATCGGCATCGGCAAAATAGTGCAGTAGGCATGGGAATGCCGGCAGCGCTATTTTGGATTACAACGTGCTTCCTACGTTGTGTTTGTTTTACGGGGTGAACCCTTGTTACTTCCAGGACCACAATGCCAGCTGCCATGTTGCGAGGAGCCCCATTGGCACCATACCAAGCCTTGGTATGGTGCCAATGATGTTCATCGAATGGACTGGCTTGCCCAGACACCAGACTTGAACCCTATCGAGAAGCTCTGGGACGAGTTGGATCGCCGAATTATGGTGTGTACTACCCGTCCAAAATTGGTGAAGGAGCTTACATATCTTCTCCAAGCCGAATGGAAGAAAATGCCGCTAGCCGTCACACAAGGACTCGTGGTAAGTATGCCTCTGAAAGTTCACGCTTGTAATTGCCTCTCGTGGGGGCTCTACCAACTATTGATTATGAATAAAGCTTGCTTTTCTTTCCAGTCACACGTGTCCAAATACATATTAGTAGATAGTGAATACCAAAACGTAAACTAATGTAGTTTTCAATTTCTTAGAAAAATGCTATCAGGTACAAATTATATAAAGTAGGCATATGTTTATTATTAAACAAATGGAAAGGAGTAAAAAATGCAAAATTATCCTACATTAAATTATTTAAGCATTATTCAACTTTATTATAGCAACTGAAACCAAAAATTGATAATTTTAAAATTTTATATGTTTATAAAATTTTGCAAATAATGCTCATAACTTCTAAAACTCATTTTATTGAAAATGTCTACAATTCTTAAATTTATTATATTTTTTAAAAAATTAATTAATCATGATTTTTTTTCTGTTTTCATTGCAACCAGCAAAGAAAAAATTTCTCTGCTAAATAGGAAATCTGTTATATTCAGTCATTGAAAAATTAGTCATTTTATTTTTTTAGTACATTGTATTGTTTTTTTTTATATATAATTGATTTCTTTTCTAGTTTACAAAGTTCGAATACGTAGTAAGTAATTAATCGAAATATTTTTTGTAAGGATAAGCAAACTTGCTTAAAGTATTTTGAACACATAATGCTTTAAATTATACTCTAAACTTATACTAGCATTTTTTTTATTTTTCAGAGTCCATATTTTATTGAAAGAAGAAGAAATATTGAGTTGTTTTTCATTAACAATTTTCATATGCATATTTTTTAACATTTTCTTTTAATCTAATCACCCGGACAGATTTAATCTGCATCTTATTGTTCGTAGTCTGTTACCGTAAATTTAAAAACTAAATGTCATTGATGTCAATGTTAAAAATTTATGTGCTTTTGAGATTTTCCCAAAGTCAAGCTTATTTTCAAAATAGAAATTATTCCGGTAGAAAATGATTCAATGGAATAAGTAATTGTTAGCTTTAGATTAGCTAATTTAAATTTCAGTTTCTGTTCCATTATCTCCAACGTTCAGTTGTTGATTTTATGCGCATTGCTTTGAAATAATGACTTTTTATCATAGATATTATAACTTCATAGAATTCCGTGAAATTTAGTTAAAAAGTATGAGATGTTTTTTTAATTCTTAAATTTTATGTTTTTGGTGAGTTGAATAAGAAAATTTTGAACGGTCACTAGCGTGAGAAAACTATTTTGCGATTTATTTCTATCAAACGTTTTGAAAATTATAAAATAAATTTTTACAAACATAATGCGAAATAAATATTTAAAATTTCTCTTCTGAATTTAGAAATGTTTCTATGTAATTTCGTTGAGTTAGAAATGCGCAGCAGAATCAAATCTGTGAGAATTATTTTCAGTGTGAAAATATTCATAGCGTTTGAAACGGAAATAAATAAACATTTTCCTGAAGCCATTTGAGTTGTTACTGTCGAAACATAAATTTAGATTTGCAAAAATTAACAAAAGAATTTTATCTTCTAGCGGTAACGAAAGGACCTAATTATGGTAAGTTATAAAAAATTACATATACTTGTTGATTGACTTCATACATCTAAGAAAGATCTTATAATAATACACAAATTCGGTAAAATACTTGGGTATGCAAATTGCTTATAAGGTATACAACGTATTTTTCAAAGTTAAACATAACGCATGCAGTTAACGACAAACGAGGGAATTAAAAGAGAAAATGAAATGCTATATATATCCTAATATTAGATNATTTTACTATAATCTTATTATTTAATATGTTTATATTTTACAGATCTGGTATTTTAAGAAACTGCTGCAACATGCAGGTAATAAAATAATTTTAGTTTTTAATTTTTATTTAAATGAGTTTGTTGAAAATTACTCACAGAATTTGTGTTGATTTGACTGAGTATTATCAATGAATTTAATCAAAAATTATAATTCAAGGCAATTCCAAAGATAACTTAAATTCAAGGTAAAAATATAACTTTGTAGAAAGAATGCATTTTAAATTTCAAGACGTGTGTTGATATATATTTAAGAAAATTAATCATATATTTGTTTTATTTTAAAAAAAATCTATATGATATTTATCTTTTTTTTTCTAAGTAAATTTGTAAATTTAAAAAATATCTATGAATCTTAAAATTTAATGTAAATTTTCCATATTTTCTCTTGAAAAGTGATATAAATCTATTAGAATTTAATTAATAAAATTTTAGGTTTTTTTGGTTAGTTCTTTTTTTTAAATTTATTTTATTGTGTTACTATGTATGTCCTAGAGCCTATAAGAAGGATATAGTTAAATGCATAGCATATAATTATGTTTTTATTTATAAATATAATTATATCCATTTATATGCTTAAGTGGATCAACTGTATTCATGCTAATTCAAATATTACATTATTTTTTATCACTTTAGGAAATAATTCCTGGTTTGTACTTGGGTTCTGTTTTTACTGCTAAAGAATCAAAAGTGAGTTGATAATTTTTCCAATTATAATTTTTGCCATTGATTATTCATTTTAAATTAATTTTATTTAGACAATTTGTGTTTTATTCTTGTTTCTTCTGTAATAGTGCACACAGTTAAAGCATTAAATAATTGTTATTATTATGTATTAATGTTTAAATATATATATATATATATATACCACTTTGCAATGTATCTGATATTTTGTATTTGCGATTTTACGATGGCAATGTATACTGAATTCACTAAATTTGTAACACACTCTATGATTCACTTCGACCAATTTGTAACTTGTTACCGTGTCATAAACACATCCTTTGCCGTTATTATTTTATTCTTTGACTTCTAAAATATCTTTTAAATTTTTATGGTTCGTATAAATAAAATCACTGGAAAAAATTGCGGAGTGGTTTATATTTATCTTCTCAATTCGATAAATTGTGATACGTAATAGCCGGGATATGTAATTAATTCATTTCACTTTGCTTTATGGTATAGGGCATAATAAGGTCAGAGTTTAAGCGTTTTCATAGGCATATATTTTAAAACACTGTTTAAAAAATACCAGAAACTCTTCACAATTTTCAGCAAAAACAGTTTATTTTGTGAATATTTGTTTTGAGATTCTTCCTAAATTGTAAAATTTTGAAAATAATGTAAGAATTATGCGAACCTAAATTAAAGATATCTAGAGCTAAAGCTCTAGTTGAAGATAAAATAATTTTTTTTGGTTCTCAGAAAAAAACATGAAAAGGAACAGTTAGCAATGTTACTAAGTATTACAAAACGTTTTTGAAAGAGTATAAAAATAGATCAAATGCTGCAGAATAGAAACTAAAATTGTTTTAAAACTGTTAGTGTTCAATCCTTTTTGTGAAGTAAAAGTTGAAGTAAGTAATTTTTTATGAGAGAACAAGAAGGTGTTCTCGAAAAAAACCATTGCCATTTATTAATATATTTTAATGGAATGACAGTCATTATAGTATCGTTGCGTTTACGGTTCCTAAACAAAATACCTTAAATTAATTAGTCTCGCCTCTTCCCTGAAGCAAAATTTTGCCGAATTCGTAATTATATCCTAATTTAAAAATATTTAAAAAAATGAACTGGAAACAATGTGTACGCATTTGTTTACAATTCGTTAGTTTTTTACTCCTTCATAGCTTTCCATATAAACTTAATAAACTCACTAAAACTCACCAGATCACCTAAAATACTTGCTAAAAATACCTACCATCAATACGTCAAATGAATTTTTACAATCAACGACATTACATTAGAATTTGCATATTCCGAGCAAAAATTCAAAAATATATGAAGCGGTCTCATCTGAATTAAGCTCATTGATATCAAGTTGAAAAGCTATTTGATTTTAACATCAATTATATTAAGTCGAAATATTTTAAACCTGGAACTGAAGTTAATTAAGTAATAAAATGAATTTTATAACATTTGAAATTATTTTATTATTAATACGTTAAGATAAATTAAGTAAATGTTATTTAAAAGGTTTTTATTTTACTAACATCAAAATTAATTTTTAAATAAACACATTTATTTATCCCTTCAATAATTTTTTATTAATTGGTATCTGTTCATATAAACTTAATAAAGTTGCTCTTCACCGGATCAATCAAAATACTCATAAAAAAGTACCTAACATTAATATTTTGAAGGAAATTTTACAATCAACGACTTGATTGTCAATAAAGATGATATCACGGAAAATGCATGCAAAAATTCAAATTTATAGAAAAGGCCTCATTTTGAGGACGTTTGTTGATATCAAGTTATATGTTTTATTAATTCTTTATTCGTTATTATATATATTAATTAATATTTTTATTCATCGGTAAGTTAAATTAATTCACTTTAACTTCGGAAATGAAGTTAACATATTAAGTAATAAGAGGAATTTTATATGTATGATAAAAATTACATATTAGTGATATATTAAGATAAATTAAGTAAAAATTATTTAACATTTATTGAGAAATTTATTAATAATTTTTAAGAGATACTTTACTCACATCAAAATTAATTTTTTAGGTTCAGGTTGCGGAAGTAAGTACATTCAATGATTGCAGATCATATTAAAATATAACAGTCTCTCCTATATGTTATGTTATATTTAATAGCATGTTTAACTTTAAATATTAGTCATAAACTATTATTCTTAGTATATGAAATTTAACGAAAATCATTCTTAATATTTTCACTGTTTTCATTTTAGCACCAGTTCGCAGTGGTAAGGCATATTCGAAAGCTTGGATGACTTACTTTTAACATTATTTAACTAGTTAAAATAACAAGAATTATCTTTTTTTAAATAAAGATTAATTTCTTATGAAAAAGTTTGTTTAGACTTCGGTGGAGGATTTACAAGAATTAATTTTGCTGCAATCATTCCTTTTTTTTTATAGAAACATTATTTTCTTAAACGTTTTATATGCTTGAATAGAAAAATGGATATATATAATTGATTTGATATTTATTAATAAATATTTAAATGATAAAATGTTTGACTCGCCGATGCAAGCAGAATAACAATAAATTGAACTGAAATTTACGCAATAAAGGATATGTGTAATCATAATTACTTAGAATATTAAATCATTTATTGATATTATCGTAAATATTTTTTTTTCAAAATATCATTATTACAATTGAATTAAGACTTAAAGATTATAAACTCGTAATCAAACTACTATCGTTTTGTTGTCATTATGAAACGAGTTCATTAATGCAAAAGTTTCAGAATAAACGAGACGATATAAATCAAGATAATAAAATAAAAGTACAGAAAGAAGAAAAAAAAGTGCTGTTGGGGAATTCTTAATGCTGATAATTAAACTTTATCTATTATTGAAATGAGAGCTGAATTAATTGGAATGTTCAAAGGAATATCTGGTGTTCTCATTCCATCTCAAATGTTTACCAAACTTTTCTTTTCTATTTTTTGTTTTTTTTTTGTTTAATTATCCTGAACCCTCTTATCGCCCAATTTTATTGGTCAAGCTTCTTGTTTTACTTGCTCTAACTACTGATATTTTTTTTCTGGGTGTATTTGTTTCCCCCCATTACTACCTAATTTGAAATTGGAGAAGGTATTTTATAATAGTACAGAAAGAATAGAATAACTGTTTTTCTGACATTAATCGGACTCTATTCTCCTTTTCTTAGCCTTAATCATATAAAGATAAAAGTTAGTTTGCAGTTTCATTATTTGTGCACGACAGACACCGGATTTTCGGGATGGAGAAAATCCTCAGCGGCCACGTCGTATGATTATGCGGCATGTAAAAGATCCCTGGAGTGCCTTATTGGCTCGTGGCATTTCCGGCAAAATTAAATTCCTAGTGCACTTTAGCATCCAAATGGAGCATCGGTGCTGCCATCTAGTGTGGCAAAAACTAGACGTCCAAATTAACATGACCAACGGTATCTCACCTATTGTGGTGGTCCTGAAAGAGTGATACCACCTATGGAGAACGCACTAGGTCTGCTCATCGGCAAGACCGATTGTGCAGCTCATTGGAAAATAAATTATTTGTACATGATATCTGATTGAAATTACTGGTTATAATTGCATGTAATTTCTATAATGATTAATTAGGTAAATAATGAATACTTTTAATCATAATTACCATCACAAGTATTTGTTGTCAATTACATTTTGCAAAAGTTTGGTGATTAGTTACTATTTGGAGGAGAACGGGTGCCATGCCAATAAATTAGAATTTGTCCTATAGTTACTATTAAAAAATTATGCTTCTTATTATATTCCAATATGTTTTATAACCTCTGCTACTGTCTTTTTAATCCAATTTTTGTACCCTGTATCCTCTAATAATTTATGAATCTGATTATCAATGTGAATCCAATTTTCAGATGGATAGGTTCTGAAGAATTTATAATCAAATGCTCGGTACACGTCTAAGATCTGAACCGCAATGTGATCCTATATTCTTATTAAGAGTCGGTTACAAAATTTTCAAATTTTTTCAATTTTAACTTTTATACTGTTTGTTTAAAAAAAAATTATTTTCAATGCTTTTCTTAAACACTAAATTAAGAGTTAATTGTAATTTGAAATTAACAATATAAGTGATAACAATATATTTTTACCATTAATTACTTTTGCGCATTTTGACTACTTTCGATTGTCTGCTTGTCAGTTTTTTTTTAAAAAAATTTAATAATAATTAAATAATAATAGGAAATCAAATAAATTAACTAAATTTTTCTATAACATATAGATGAATGGTTAAGAGGTAACATTATGAAATCATTTTTACTTTTTTTTTACAGTGCGTCGAACTCAAGGTATGTAGTAAATAGTATAATTGTTCAGGAATATTACTTAAACTTCGTATAATATTTATCTTAATTTTTCGAAAATATTATTTTTTATGATTTTATGTGTGAATGAAAGAAAAAAAAAATTAATTTATAATTAACAACTTTAAAGTTTTAATTTATGTACACTCATGGACAAAAAAAATAGCGCACCAAGAAATAATTGCGGGATCGTAACGAAACTTGCAATGAAGGTACATGTCGGGGAGATATGCAAATGATTAGGAAAGCAGCGTGATTGCGCAATACGTATAGCCGGTAGAGGGCGTTGAACGTCGCCCTCTGTGGAGTGTAAAACAGGTAACCAAAGCTTATTGGAGTGTGCTGAATCGTTTACAAAGGAAGAGCTGAGGTAGACATGTCATTACGCCGTGTTCGAAGACAATATGAGCAGTTGTCGCAGTTTGAGAGGGGGAGAATCGTTGGGATGATGGAAGCTGATTGGTCAACTAGGCGAGTAGCTCGTCAATTAGGCCGCTCGGACTGTGTTGTTAGGAGGTGTTGGGACCAGTGGATCCGAGAGATGTCATGTACACGAAGACCAGGCTCAGGACGCCCTCGACAGACCAGTCGTTGAGAAGACCGCCACATCATAAGAAATGCACGCGTACAGCCAAGTGCTTCATCGGCCGTCATCCAGGCACAGGTACTACCTTAACTAGGGGCCCCTGTGTCTTCTCGAACCATACGAAGGCGCCTGTCTGAAGGACAGTTGGTATCGCGGCGCTCATTATGTGTGCTGTCCATGACACCAGCCCATCGACGCCTCCGTTTAGAGTTTTGCCGTGCACAAGGAAACTGGACTGCAGCGGAATGGAACCAGGTCGTCTTTAGCCACGAATCCAGATTCAATCTCAGTAGTGATGACAATCGTGTTCGTGTGTGGAGACCCCGTGGTGAACGCCTCTATCCTGCCTTTGCAGTACAACGACACATCGCCCCCGCAGCTGGTGTGATGGTATGGGTGCCATTGCCTACAATGCACGATCACCCCATGTATTGTTCCGTGGCAATATGACAACCCAGCGGTATGTCCATGAAATCCTGCAACCACATGTGTTGCCACTCATGCAACAGCTCCCAGGAGCCATTTTTCAACAAGACAATGCTCGGCCTCATACGACAAGGGTTTCGCAAGACTGTCTCCGTACTGTTACTATCCTTCCTTGACCTGTCCGATCCCCAGATTTGTCTCCAATCGAGCATATCTGGGATCATTTGGGACGGCGAGTTGGGCATCCCACGAGTTTGAACGAACTAGTTGCAAGGTTGCAGCAAATATGGAGCAAAATGTCTCAAGACATAATACAGAACTTGTATGCCTTAATGCCCGATCTTATCGAAAATCCTACAAACCAGACATTTTAGCACTTATGTTTCAAAAATACTACCAATTAAAGATATTGAATGCTATAATATTTAAACAGTTTTCGAAATTCTTATTCTATTCCGTCTTTAGAAAGTGTTAAGTTTCTTTAAATACTTTAAGAATTGTCTTTATACGAAGGTAAATGTAACATATATGACAAAAACATCGAGAATTAGATAAATAAAATAAAAATGAGATAAATTAACTATTTTCCTCTGATATCAATCGCATAAATAATTATGATCATTTTGCTTTTATACATTTAGCGATGTTTTTTAATATGATTTACTTATAAACTTATATTTTGTTTAGCTAATGGTTCGTATATTTTCTGTTTTTTTTTGTGTTTTTATTATTCACATATTACAGTATCTCTCACTAATTAAATTTCACCTAAAAATGCAATGATTTACCTAGAAATTTTGTAAAAAGCATGCTACATCCTGATTTAGGATAATCAATTGCATCCTAAATTTTATTATAGAAACATACATAAGACAAATATGGTAAAAAGTACTTTAACTCGTATAATATTGTACATTAAAAAAATCTTAATCTCTTCTTTTAATCTAACTACATAATGGATTTAGAAACCAGGATAAATGCTTGTATATCAATTACAATATAATATTAAATTTAGTAACTCTGGTACATTAAAAAAATAACTTTAACTAAAGTATTTTTCTTTACAAAAAACAAATTTAATTTTATGATATTGCAATAACACTTTTTAAAAATATTTTTCAGTTGATAAGGCTGATGGTAAGAATAGTTAGATATATCATTATGAAAATTCAAATAATAATTTAAAATAATATACAATTATACAATTGTTCACAAATTTACATTTGATTTAACGAAACATAAATGAAATTATCGGGAATGCTAATTTTATGTTCTTATGATTTCTTGCTTCAAAATTAAGTGACTACTTTGAAATGGATATTTTTTGTAAATTTTTAATGAGCATTTATGCCTTCATAAAATATGCCTTTCTATAAATAAGAAATTATTTTATTTCAGATCTATTATCAGCAGTAGGTAATATATTTTTTATATTTTAAAAGTCATAAATCAATATGATAAACCTATAAATTGAAAAAAAAACATTTCAAGAAATATTAAAACACAAAAACCTCTAAATTTAAAACTGAAAGCTCTTCATTAGTGTTTGAAATCCAGACGTTAGTTGGAAAATTTTATATAAGAATTTAAAAGGCACAAAGTTCTTCATAAAATTATTTTATCCATTCTGAAAAGAAAGTTCAAATAAAAAAATAAGTTTTTTCAATGTATTTCAATGTTTTTAAAAATAACTATGAATAATAAAAAAAAAACAAATCTATCATTAACTTTAGTAGTTTAATTTAGTAAACATACGTAGTTTCCGANATAAGAAATTATTTTATTTCAGATCTCTTAGGAGCAGTAGGTAATATATTTTATATATTTTAAAAGTCATAAATCAATATGATAAACCTATAAATTGAAAAAAAAACATTTCAAGAAATATTAAAACACAAAAACCTCTAAATTTAAAACTGAGAGCTCTTCATTAGTGGTTGAAATCCAGACGTTAGTTGGAAAATTTTCGACAAGAATTTAAAAGGCACAAAGTTCTTTATAAAATTATTTTATCCATTCTGAAAAGAAAGTTCAAATAAAAAATAAGTTTTTTCCTAATGTTTTTAAATGTTTTTAAAAATAACTATGAATAATAAAAAAACAAATCTATCATTAACTTTAATAGTTTAATTTAGTAAACATACGTAGTTTCCGAATTTTTTTTTAGGAAAAAAACATAAAAAGAAGTCTAAAATGTCATTTTTCAGATATTATTTTTGGACAAAATATTTAAAACAATTAAGTTACGTAACGTATATTTTTTTTCATTTGCAGGAAATGCCGTCAATGGTAAGTTCATAGTTATAGTTATAATGGCATATATATATATATATATATATACACATTAAGCGCGATTATCCATGATTATTTACTTGAATTTGAATTTTAAATTAAGCAGCGTGAATCATTGAAATATTATTAATTACCGTTTGTTTTTTGTTTCAGGTGTTGGCCAAACTGGTAAGAAAATTTGTTTAACTATCTCTAATTAAATTATACGTTTATAAACAAGCATTAAGTATTCTTGCTATTTACGAATACAATTTATTTTCCCGTAAGAAAGCTATAACTACATTTCATTTAATATATTCAGATAATTAAGTAATGCGAATATTTCTCAATTTGCTTAAATTATCTCTAAAATATAAAGAGGTTTCAGCTTAACAAATTTTAATTATATATTCTCAGAAAAACAATAATTTTTAAAACGGGCAGTGTTTAAGAAATATTTATTAGAAAGAAAAACTGGAATTTTAAAAAAACTTGCTTCCCTGAGCTTTGGTACTAATTAATTTATAAAATTTTGAAGTAAACTGAATAATAATAAAAATGTTTTATAATAAAATTTTTGATTTTGTGCATTATTAATTACAGTGCATTATTAATTTGACTGTAATTTTCTATACAATGTAACTTTAATATCTTTAATTAGCGTTAATAAATATAGTATTGGTTTGTATATTTAACATATATACATCTGCTCTAATAGTGAAATGGTTTCGCTCTTTCAGTAATTCATACATCTGTGGTGTAACTACCACTACGAAAATTAAACATCAATTCACTGGTATATAAGACATGCTAACTTGATTTAATCACGAGGCATCTACTTTGATTTATCATACTACTTACTACCTCAAGGAAATACCCCAAGGACTCTCATCACACGGTGAAGGGGTAAAGGGCCGTTCCGGCCTCAGGCATCCCGAACCACCTAATAGACTAGACTCAATCACAGGGTACCTTGTGATAGATGAAGGTTGGCATGATCGATAACTCCGCCCCCACATTGGTAACCTCCAGACGTGATTTGAACACGCCCACTTCACAAAAATCTTGACAGTAACGCGTACTTCGTTGGATGATCCACATTGATCAGTTGACTTGCTACTTGTGACTGCGACATAATCAACCTCCTCACGCTGTTGCTACTCTGTCTCGCCTCGATGAAACACAACGTCTGCCTGCATACACTCGACTGCTAATGGCAACACTGGAGCGACTACGACTGTGAAGTTAATACATCTCTCACATTCAGCACTCAAAAAACTGGTGACCTTAAAACCAGCTCTCCCGGTCTTTCCCAAGTACAGCAACTAGTGGTATCAGTACATCGAATTCTATCCCAGATAAAATTCTGGTGGGGGAGTATTGTGGCGTAACTACCACTACGAATATTAAACATCAATTCACCGGTATATAAGACATGCTAATTTTATTCAATCACGAGGTACCTTTTGATAGATGAAGGTTGGCATGATCGATAACTCCGCCCCCACACATCTAAAATTAATAACTTTTTATCACCATATTATTTACATCTTTCTTCTGATTACTTTTCTTAAAAAAATTTGAAAAGATACATTTTAATTATTAAATTTTGCAATAATCCCTGATTATGTAGCTGTTTACAATTTGTATCTATTGAAAATACAGTTCAAAAGTACGTGACATTCAGTGCTTGAATTCATTTTCTAATTAATATTTAACTTCTATGTTTCAGTTCAAAATGGTGTAGCACGTAAGTGATTTTAACTGAAGAAATAAATACATTTTTTTTAAAAAATCAAAAATTTACTGTTATTTGTCACACATTTTTCAACGTTTTTTTAAACACTCAGTAGAATATGAAATATTAGTGCCGATTTTCTAGAGCGATATATGTTATATTTCTTATTTTTCTTCCTTTTTATTTTGTTAGTCACTAATGCATGTTTTTAGTAAGGCAGATACACATATTTTTTTAAATATATTTTATGAATTAAATTGTGTTTTAAAATGTTGGTCGAAACAATTACTACTTGTGACAGTTTTACATAGTTATTTCTTTCACGTGAAATTACATAAATGTACATTAATCCATTTTTTCCTGGGAAAAACCTTTTAACGAAATGATTGAATTAAAACTGGCTATAATTTCATAATAAATTACAGTGAGAAAACTGAACTTTTAAATTTTCTGATAAAAAAACACTTGATGAAATGAATATAATAAATTTGAATTGAATGTCACAACAATTAATTATTTTGATTTTTAAAAAAAAATACGCAATCTGCTATTTAATAGCTTGAGAGGTTTACTTTCTTGTCTTATTGTCAACCCACTCATATAGCATAAGGTCTTTTTCTGTTATTAGTACACGTCTTATTGGTCACAAGCAACTGATGACCGAGTTCTCCCACCTTGACAGTTTTCTTCATAAATAACGTTTACACATAGCAGTGATTACAATCGCATTTAAATGTCTCAATGAATTTTCGTTTTGTTCGTTACTTGCTGTGTATTAAATAACTGTTTTGTCACAAACATCTAGTATTTCTAGTATTTTAAATAAAGGAAACAACGATGAAAATTATTTAAACACTACTAAAATTATTTTTAGTATTACATAGATCATTAACAAAGTTTGCCTCCATCTAGGTGTTAATATGCCAGTATATCTAGCTAGGAAAAAACAACAATTCTTTTCTGTAAAAAATAAAAATAATTTTTAATTAAACAAAAATAGGGAAAAAAATTAATATTATTATACTGCTAATTGATTAATTCGGTACTCATGCTCGCTTGATTTCCAAATGATTGATAACATAGAGTTAAAATTTTTAATAGTAAAGAATCTTGTATTCCTGTACAGTATTTAAATGCTTCATAAGTAGCGACTACATCAATAAAATAATTTCCAAAGGCACAAAATCTGTTATATAGTCCCTTCTAACTCTTAAAAAAGTATTTGTATCTTAACTTTTGATTGGAAACAGGAAAAAACTTCGAATTTTCGTAGTTTGTGTTCGTGAAGAATTTTCTCAGAAATTTATGAAAAATTTGTATTTCTTTATATTTATTAAAAATGTGTTTCTTAATAAGAAAATATTATTATTTTTAAAAAAAATGTTTTTTTTCTTCATATAGCTGTTGTTAATGGAGGTAACTCTATATAAGTATATTTTATGTTGATGAAAATATTACAGTTATTGAACGAATAATACATTTATATAAATAATTTTGTGGCATGTAATTTATTACTTAGCGTCAGATACTATATATATTTACTTTTATTTATTTAATAAAAAGAATTGTTTAAAAAAAAACAATTCTAATACTAATTTTTTTTATTTTATAAGATAATGTTTCAATATGAATTATAGTCTGTGTGTGTAAGAGAGGAATACATAGTGATGATTTGATCTGAGGAGATCAATGTTGCCAGCAAGCTAAATTTTGATAAAAAGCTTTGTTATCGCTTTTAATAAATAATGCATACTTCAGTTCCAAGGTTAAAAATATCAATTTGAATTGTATAATTGTATTAAATATATTTGGGTACTAGAGTTTAATTCTCCAACAAAATATTAAAATGACATCAATGTGACGAAATTTTGTTTATTATGCTTTTTCAAACACCGTCGACTTTTAGTTAAAGAGGAAATTATTATTCGAACCTGTATGTCCAACTCATTGCAGTTTCTCTATTTTAATGATATCCTGATGTAATATGAGCCACTTTCTAATATCTTCTTTGTGAGTATGACAAACTCAGAAATTATGATACATGTTTTTAATTAGAGTTAATTTTATTGATATAGATAACCAATAATTCCTCCTCTAATACTTAAAGATCCTATACCACATTACGTCTTCAAGTTGAGACTTCATATTTATCCACTATTTCTCCAAATTTTTTTAAAGATATAATTGACGTTTTTTTCTGAATAATTGAGTACTCTGAATACCTTTACTGTCTACTGCTATGCAATTGCAAATAATAGAAATAAACAAAAAATAAAAGCAACAAATACTAAAAATTTTTATATTTGAAATTTTTTGCAATGATTTGGTTTAAATATTAACAAAATTTTAAAACATAGAAACATGCTATGGTAATTCTAGATTTCATAAATTTCACAGTTGCGTTTTGAAAATTTAAAATTTCACCGAAAAAATTTCTGTAAAGCTTCTGAAAATTCTTATTAACTGTTTATTCGTGTTTTAATTTTTTTAGTCGCTAATGGAATCGACAGTAAGTTTTTATACATTTTATACAGTTTTTATCATTTTTTTACATATCTCTTCGTAATTGAAAATATTTTGAAACTAATAGACTATTACAGATTTGGAATCAATGATATTCAAGAATTTTTACTCTTACCTTATCAATTTGTATTGTGTAAATAAAATATTTTGTCCATACAATTTTTAGCACTTGGATGTGGAAGTAAGTAATACTCCTTCGCATTTAATTTAAAACTGCATTTTTGAACATTCTTCATAAGGAAATTTATGATTAAGTGGAAATCTATACCAATTAAAAATATAGAGTAAGTTATTTGTCAATGAAAATGTAAAAATCTTAATAAAATCAAGAACTTAAAATTGTTTTGATTTTAAAAATTGAAGCCATAAAAAAGGCCATGAAAATTGCCTGGAAAAAAATTGCAATATTTTATTACTCTAATTTTTACATTAAAAAAATCTGAATTTCATGGTCCACAGTAATTGTAGCACAAATGTTAAAGACAACAATATTTGGGTAAAAATTCGTATTTTTAGTATGAAGTTAAAATCGTTATAATATCAAAGCGCATGCTAAGTATGGCAATAACTTGCCATAAGGAAAGTAAAACAAAGACAAAGTGAGGACATTGCAAAAAAAGAAAGGAAAAAAAAGAGCATTTCCTTAACATTTGATCTAATTATCGGATCTTCTTTGCCTTAGTGCTCCTGACACTACTTTACTTTAATTATGATTTCATCTCCTTCGATTTTTTAAGCATTCTATCTTTTACTAATAGATTTGATTACACTTTTAATACCTCTACGCCAAGTTATGTTTGATTTTCCACTATTTTATTCAAGTTGGGGAGTATAATCAACAGCCAGTATCACTTTAATTTATATTTAATTTATCAATGCATAGCCAACAATCCCCACCTTTTTATTTTATGTTTTTTGACTGGCTTCTGTTTTTAACGCAACCTTTATTTTTTTTTCGACTTTCACGCACTAGGACTCAGTTTCAATGATATGTGTGTAAATCCTTAAATATGCTAATTAATTAAAGCAGATTGAATTTTAGTAAAAAAACTTGCGCATGAACGGACTTTTTTGAACAAAAATTCCTTTAATCCGACGAATTTGCTTTTATTACCCTAAAAAAATCTTTTTTTAAAAAATTATTAATTACTCTTCATTATTTAATTTTTTAATCGTTGGAAATATTTTAAATTGTAAGGTACATAGTTCATTTCTCAGACTTAAACTGAAAAAAAGACAAATTCAAAAATTTGAAGCTAATAGCTCGAGTTCTTTTTAAAAATGCAAAATGAAATTGCATCTTCTTTTAGATTGCTAATTACAAAAAAAGTGAAATTCTCACTTAAGATCCAACATTTTTACCCGTCTCCAGTCCAAATATTTCGAACCATATCTTTCAGATTGCGGCTAACTCTATATTCTGCGTTTTAAAAAAAGTATGGTCTAAACTTCCATAACTTGGTAAAATTTACTTTTTTTTTTGGCTCTACGGGAGCACCAGAAAAAATCTGTCATTTTTACCTATGCGCTTTTGTAATGTTTTGGTAAAATGACCAATAAAATATAATATGGTGTTATAATGTGGGATAATATTTGGTAAATTTGATAATTTTATGTCATGTCATTGAAGTAAATTCTGGTTTTATTAAACAAAATTATTATGTTTTATTTTTATTTAAGTCATTATCATTCAGTAAAGTAATTTTAAAGGAACTTTCTTCTCCATGTAAAAGTCAATAATCCGTATTCGTCGAAATGAAGCATGTTTTTGAAGAAAAACTATGATTTTGCAGAAAAACTATTTTTTATCTTATTTCCTGTTTTAAAATGTCATCTGCACTAAATAATGGAATACTCTGTTAAGGGTGAGTTTAATAATGCTAAACTGCTGTAGATTATAAGTTCTATTAATCTAACTTTCTACTTATTAACAAAATAACTTTCGATTTTATAAATTAAACTATCGTTTGCACTATTTAATTAGAATATTTATCATTAGGGTCTTGAATCATTAAAACTGAGTCCTGGTAAAAGATCATGAGATTAAATGATATTAACTGCTAAATATTTTAACACTGTGCATGTAGAAAGTCTAATTGGACTTTCTAAATGCACAGTGTTAAAATATTTAGCAGATTTATTGAAAATTAACATATTTATTGAGAATAATTCACTTTCGGTCTAACCAGTCAAAAAGAAAATTAAATATATTCAACTTGTTTAATGGCCAATATATCCGAACTATTTATATATTATTTGAATTATGCGATTTGAAATATGTCATGTTATCTACCGTTTAAAAGCTGCCACCATTTTTTAATAATTATTGCGTGTTTTAATGAGTGAATCGTAAAACATAAACATATGCAGCTTTGATATTTCTTAAGAATTGTTGTCAAATTAAAAAGCAGACCAATGATGGCATGCAACCTATTTTCTAAAATCCATCCTCGTGAGGATTTTGAAATGCAAGTGGAGGAATTATCCAGTTGCAAAGTACAACTTGGTTCACCAATTCTCTCTGAAAATTGCAGTAAATGGTATTCTATAATATTTTGGAAATCGGCAGATCTTTTAAAGGCTGGGGATAAAGTTACATTAAGTTTACTACCGTAGCCGATTCCTTCTAACACTATTAATGATACTGCATCTCACTGTCTAATGGAGAAGATTTCTTTCTGACCCCCCCCCACAAAATATATTTATATATGCGAATTATATGTTCGCATTCTGCTGGCAATAATGAAATTAAGAAATTGGAAATTTCGAATCTCTTTTCAATAAAATTCTCTGAAACTTAATTTTTGAGTTTCAAACACATATCTTAATAAGATAGCATGAACCGAATATATATTTACTTAATCATTTAGCTTAATTTTAAATAAAAATCAAGTTTTCCATAAAATAAAATCATTTCTAAAGGGATTAATATATTAAATTTCTTTCTAACGCGCTAAGGAACTAAGTTTTCTGAAAAATGGAAACCACGTATTTTATTTTTTTCTTCTAATTAATCCCATTGTATAAAATTGTTGGTTCACTGATTATATAGAATTATTTTCTGGTTAAAAAGTATTAAAAAAAATGTTTGGAAACTAATACATTATTTTCTTTTGAAAAGTTAAAGAAATTGCTAATGGTGAGTACACTTACGTTACTTGTATTCTAATATTTATACTTATGTAAGCATCGAATCTCTCTTTATAAATGCAAATTAGCCTAGTATTCGAACTGCATAATTTTATACATTACATGCAAAATAATTTTTTAAAAATATGTCTTATAAATATTTAATTTGGCTTATTGAGTATTTTTTCAATATAAGTCAAATCTATACCATTATATCATATTATAGGTTAAGTTGTTTAAAAACAAACTCATGTTCCCCACGAAGACAATGTGAAGCATTTGTCTTCTTTAAGCATTTTGCTTACAGCTGGTACAAGAAGCGAAATAGAATGATCCTTTAGTATGCTAAATAACGTACGCAAAATGTTAAAAAAAACTCTTGAGATGGCTCATTTTTATTTCACAGTACCTTTGTAGTTTGATAAAATAAAAAAAACTTTTTTAACACGTTGAATGCCATGGTGGTAACCGGTGACTGGCACTGAGTTCATTCGCGGCACCTCGGGGGTCACCGGTGACCAGCGAAGCCAAGATCATAAGAAACACTTATTCGAGTCAATGTTTAATATATTTAATATTATTATCGTTACTAAAATGGTTTGAAGAAATTAATGTAATATAGAACACACAAAAATAGTTTTATTTATTTACACAGAGATGCCAACTTGCTCCAGACAGTGAATAAATATTTTCAAGTGGTAGTCTATTAATTTTGATTCTTGGTTTAATAATTTCAATTTAGTAGATTTTTATCCACCACTAATTCTAAACAATTCGCTGGCTTATATAATTCAACACTTTTTTCAGATATGTCATGCTAAACCTTTTAAAAAACCAGCAGAATCTGTCAAATTTGTAAATTTATTTTGTAGTTATTTACCGTTTGGCCAGACGGGAAAGCCATATAAAATTAACGTGACATTAAGTGAGGTCTCACTTAACTCTTTGAGGGATTGAGGCTTTGAGAAAGAGATTTTTTTTAAGAAATAAAACATCTCAATTGACAAAATTAGTTTAGCTTCGCTCTAGTAGGACAATTTATTTAAATGAATTATTACACTATTTTATTTACTGTTTGTTAGTGATTAAAACAGAGTTAAGAGGCGTTATTTTTAGGAAAGAAGTCATGAATAATTTTTCTCAATGAAAATAATATTTCGCATTAATGTAAAGCTTAAAATTTCTTAATGTATTTAATAATAATGCAAAAATAAATGCCTCGGTTAATTATTGATGTTAGAAGAGCCTAATGCATAAGAAACCTAATTGTTTTTTGTATTCAAATTATAGAGGCTGCCCAAGCACGTAAGTATTTTCAAATATAAATTTAAAAAATTTCTTTTAAATAAATGCATATAGAACTATGTGAATTAAAAAATAAATAGAACAAAAAGTACGACAATGAAACAATAACAATAGGTCTTTCATTTTCAATAGAAGTAAAATAAATTAAAACAGTATTTAATAAGGAATTTAAAAATTTTATGAATTAAATGAATGCTATCATAGAAGTTGTAATTCATATGAATGAAATATCTATACTCAAATGAGTTTAACATGGTAAGAGAAATCAAGAAAATCTTGTAAAGATATTTTGTAAACACATAAAATCACTTCGTACGGGAGTCGTAATTAGTGAAAACTTAAGCAATTTTATCTATGCATTGAATGATCTCTAATTAAACATTGCTGGGAAATACTATGTTGCTTACTGAAATAAATTATTAAAATCATTTGACTCTCATCGGTAGCTTTATGGAAGAGCACTGAAATTTTTATTTTTTAAAATAAATTAAATGATAAAAAATATCTTTAATAAAAAACAACACAATTACAGATCGTTAGAAAAGTTACGAAAGTTATTCGAATTGCTTGATATTTCAGTTCAAAATAAAAAAAAAATGAATAAAATTCAATAAAATTAAAAAAAATATATAATTAGTAATTTTCTTAAAAGGAGAAAGTATGACTCCGACACATAGGAGGCTGTGGAGATACTAAACAAAAATTTAAATTCTTGAAAAAAGATCGTCATAAAATTAATTTTGAGACATATATTTAAAAAGGAATTTGTAAAAAATGTGTAAATGTGTAAAAAATAAGTTTCACAATCAATACTTCCACTTTCAGTTGAAACCGGTAAGTAGAATGATACAGTTATACTTAATTTCTGCCCTGTTTTCGAGTAAACACTTAGTAAAAATTTTCAACAAATCAAAGATTAATATTTAAAATGCTAATTTTAAACTTCGGAACTTACCTACTTTAGAGGACCATATAATTCACAGTACCACTGAGTAAATGTATTTTTTTGAAGCCAGTGATCTTAATTAATTGTAGAAATGGGAAATGGTGGTAATTTAGTAAATTAATGGGTGTGTGGTAATAGGTTCGAAATATACTAATATAGATAGTTAAGGTAATAGAATTTTTACTGCCTCCCGCAATGGATAAGTATTAAAATTTCCTCTGAATCTATTCTACTTTCCTCGACAAGTTTTTAATGTTTTGTTTTTTGTTTAAATCTCTAACTTTAATTAATTAACAAAAAAAGAAAGAACTTTTTTCCATCATGGGCGAATCCTGGAGCTTTTTGTTATATTAAATCAGTTGAAAAAAAGGTAGCAGTGAAATTTTCTGATCTACTCTGGTTTTTAAACAAATATGGGTTAAAATGTAATTTCAATTAAAAGCCCTTGATTATTGTTGTGCGAAAGATCATTTTAAGTAATTCGCAAAAAATCTTATTCTATTGCCTATGCTATTAGCGATACAGGCTTTTACGAGTAAATTGTACAGAAAAATTGTCTTTTGCGATAAATATTTTCTATTGCAACATTTTGATAAATATGAAGAATTTTTCCCATAAATACATTGCTTTATTTATTTAACATGTTGTAATTCGTAATATGTATCACAGTGAAAATTTTATTATATATACATACCCAGTAAGNAAATAGTCCCGGTCCTTCAACGATTGCCAGAAGTTTGCCTGAAATGCCATGCACTGGCCCTCATTCTGGCCCAGATTTCACTTTATTAACGGAACCGATACGGCAATGAAAAGCCCGCCGTAATGGCACTTTAGGTGAGCCGGCATTGTCCCTTCACTAGCCCAAAAGTTGTGTGCTTGTTGGGTACTTTATATATAACGTACTTTTTTCTTTGAACCTTACATTATACCACAAAGAAATAGGAGTCTGTTATAAGTCTTTAAAATAGCATGATTGCGTCAAAACTGGATTATTTAAAAAACATCCATGGCCTTCATGTTTAGGTTACACTGTAAAAAAATTTCGGATCAAATTAGGGATAAAAAAAATGACTCCTTGAGGTCAGTATCAGTAAAATCCATTCTACTATACCACATTTTACCGTATTTATTTAATTACAGTGATTCAGGGATTTTTCAGCAAATATTACTGTAAAAAATATGGTATATTCGATTTTAAGTTCCATTAAGCATTACTGTAGAAATAGATTTTAAGGAAAAATAAATTTATTAATTAAGTAGAATAATTTTATCCTGAATTTTTGCAATGTCGATAATGTAAATTAGGGAAAAATCATCGTTTTTAATACATTTCGTTTTTGAGTTCAATTTCCTGGTTCTTTATGATTATGACTCTGAAAACGTCACTTTCTTGGTTTTTCCACTCAGGTCTTCAATCAATAAAGATAAAATAATTGAACTTTTTACTTCAGTATTATTTTTAACCCTTCCCGGAGGCTTTACGTTTCTTACATTAAGAAAAGCAAGTTTTGTTGTGATTCATTTCACACCAATAGGGATTTACTGTATTTAACATCTCTTGGCGTGATGATATTGCTCGTGGCCAACTCAAGCTAGTCAAAATTTGAGTAACTATAACTATCAAGTAATTTTCTGTGGTACACATTCCTTTCAAGGGATCTTATCAGACACTTATATCCACAGTATTGATTGTTGTTTGTATTGGTGTAGTTTTAATTATAACCAAATATATTAATAAAATACTTTATACACACTTTAGTATACTTGTTACGGATTGTATAACTCCTATATTTGCTATAATACATATTACTTATAATAATTAGGCATTCATATCAATAATATAGCGAATAATAGCCCCGAAGCTAATACGCATCTTTGTTCCATTAACTTATATTTTTGGTCATATTTTTTTATTTTAATTTAGCAACATTAATTAATCATCATTGTCGTCAATAATAGTGTGGCAATTTTTCATGGGTTTTTTAAAGGAATAAGTGGCTTTCCTTCCACCATTTATTTTGCCTTTGAATGAGTATCTATTTCCTTTTTGAATTTTAACTATCTTTGATTTTAAGTTATAAAAAGGTATTATATAAATATATAAATTTTTATACATAAATTTTAAAATATTAATTTGGTGACGTAGTCCGCGAAAATTCAAACGTTAATGTTTTTCATTAAATGTATACTTTAAAGCGAATAAAAACTAATTGAATATTAAAATACATGTAATAAAAGTTTTTTAAGAAATAGTGCTATAAGCTATCGAATATCCCTGATGACTGCTAGCAAATATGATGATGATGACTTTAAAATATTTAAAAAATTGCACCGTGGTTAGTTAAATTTAAAACAATGGTTAACGCTTAACCTATCAGAAAATTTTATATCGTTTTACGCTTATCCAGCATCTTGAAACAGGTGCCGTCGAATGGTCTAATATTGACACTGATTCTCGTACTTCGAACTATCTGTCTGCCAAATTTTATCGCTTTCGGTCCAATGACTTAGTTAGGAGTCTACAAAGGACACAGACTGACATTCATTTATTTGTGCCATTGAAATAATATTAGTTTATGTTAATAAGTATAGTGAAAATGAAAAACTGATACGTGAAACAAAAATTCGTCAGATCTTAACTCACGCAAGAAGTAATAAATAAATAAAATAATATTAATAATAATCTTATCAACTGGTCTGATGTTATATATTTATTAATAAACCATTTCTTCACCAACTTCATACCATCATTATGAAAAACTTCTATCTCCGGTGCCGGCTTAAAGCCTAACCGTTGGGTCTAAAAAGTACGCAGCAAAACATTTCGGAATACGAATGGGTCAAATTTAAATAAATCAATTTTCGCATTGCTCCCTTTTTTCTGTAAAATTTTATACTTTAATTATTTTAGTGTGAAAATTACGGTGAATCGTAACATGTACCGGTAAGAATGGATTTTACAGTAAAAAAGACTGGTCCTTAATTGTCGGTACTTTTTACCACGACTTGATCAGGAATTTTTTCGAGTGTTATGACTGCTGTTATGCAATAATGCTGATCACATTAGCATCATTATGTCGTTGGTCATGAAATTGTAGAGCATTAACCTTCATGATTCCCCTAAGCCCACGTTGAGCTGTTGTGAGTTTGAGTTAGTTTAATAACAATATTTATTCATGTAACTGCAATATATTGGCAAATAAATAATGCAAGTTGGTTTTTTATCTCGACAGGTGGTAAGTAATGGTTACGTCTCATATACATTCCGGATCGAAAAAAAAACTATTTATTGTCCAATATTTATTATATTTAACTCTAAGCAACTTTCTCTTGTTAAATTTTTGTGCGTTTATTCCTGTTTAAAATATCTACTTAAACCTAATAAAAATCCTTTCATGCTCAAAAAAAGATAACCTTAAATTAAATCACGTATTTAGTTAGAAAAGTTTTAGCTTAATAAAGTAGTGTAATTTTTTTTACATAAAAATATGATTTTTACTATAACAAAAAAAATAAATTAATTTAATTATTAAACTCATTGATAGATTGATTGACTCGTAAACAATAATATAAATTGCCTCATGATCAACCTTCATATGTATATTAAGTATCGTGATCAAAAATAAAAAAAAGCATGCTCGTGGGAGAATTATCTATTCGGAGAAAAAAAACACTGCATTCAAAATCTGAGACATCACGGTAATGGAAGACAGGAATAACAAGCAATAATGCAGGTCTGATTGCAGGAGAAAACAGAAAGGATATGAAAGACGACCGTTAGAATTACCTACAAATTTCATGCACAGAATTTTGATATTATTTGCATTCGGCTTTCCTTGACTGATTTTGATAGTGTCTTTGTTTTCACCTTGATGAAATATTTCCTTGTGACATCTAATGTGTGTGTTCTTTTCATTCGTTAAAAAGCTCCCTAAAAATACATATTAGAGGCAGAAACCCTACATTTAAATATGAAGAAACATATTTTTTTTAAATGAAACACATATAACATCAACACTAGCTGTTTTATGTTGTTACAAGTAACTTAAGTAGTTGTTGCTACATATTTAACCTCATTTGATTCAATTTGCCTCAGAAAAAGTACCTCATTTGTCTAGATAACAAAAATCAAAAGTTCATCAACAGAATGACAGAAATATTGTTTATGATCAAAAACTCACATGCTTAAATAATTACAAATCAAAGTAGTATTTTTTGTATGTTCGAAACCCTTGACAACTTTTAAACTATTTTCCTCATTGACTCATCTCGTTGAAATATTTCTATTTATTTAGATATTATAGGTGGTGGTAAGTACTCGACACTTTTTACATGAAAGGAATATGCTCTAGTAATTAGTATAAGCAAAGTTTTTTGAGTTCAACTAATTAACTTTACTATGGAAATTACTTTCTTACAGTTGCTAATATTGGTACAAGTATGTATTTATTTTCACATTTATCTTATTTGGATAGGTTTAAAATCCCTGTTAAACATAAATGTAAGCAAAATACATGGAAAATGTTGTATAAAAAAGCACAAAAATAAAAATAAACACGAGGGATTAAAAAAGGTATCGAACACTAAAGATTTAAAAAATAGTAACTAACCGATGTTTTCTCTGAGAATGCTCTATATATGTAAACAGAATGCAAAGGCATATCTAACACAAAAACTCCATTGATATTATAAAAATTTGGCGGAATTGCCGCCAAATATTACTATTTTGCTGAATGAAGTGATATTTTGCGCAACCATACATATATACAACTTATTATAACAACATGTTATTCTTAGAAACATATATTTTAATATTTTTGAAATGTCATTTAGCATTCAACATACATAATTAAAATAATAATTATAATAAGTTGTGTATATTTGATTTTAGTGTGAAAACCTCATATAAAGGAAGTAAAAACAACGTAAAAAACAAAAATAAAGTCAAATAAAAAGTTCATCTATTCAAAGGCTAAAAGCTTGGAAAATTTTATATATTCGTCTATAAGTAGTTTCCAAGCATGGAATTTTATAAATGGTTAATTTTTTTTTTTCCAAAGGCGATAAAAAAGAAAACAATATTTGATTTTCGGCCAGAAATCGGCTGAAAAAATGCCTATTCTCTAGATACTTATATTTTTCTATTAACTATTACTAAACAAACTAAATACACTAAATACATATGACTTTCTAGTCCTCCAATTTATAATCCCATCTTTCCGAAATTTTTCTATCCCTCTAATTCGAGGGAAAAGAATCCAAATAAGTAATATATGTATATATACATGATACATAACTAATACATACTATCTTTCACTTTTTTTACTATAAATTAGTATTTTAACTATTAAAATAGTTATAAAAATATTTAGCCACACCCACCCATTTAGAATATTAAATAATCTTGCTTATACTTGCACAACCTTCATATTTCGAGTATAAAATTTCATACTCATAAAATTTCATACTTCATAAAATTTCATACTTCATAAAATGTTTATTAAAAATCATTTTTTACTACATAATTTATACGTAAATATTCAAGCAAAATCAGTTCAACTTCTTACAGAACATGAAAGTACATATTAAAAATGGATTTTTAAAATTTTTTTCACAGCTGCAGTAAAAGGAGGTGAGAAATAAGTTTTGTTTTATTTACGAATATTTTGACGATATTTTATTCACATTTAAAGAAATTGATTGTATTTTAGATTATGTTTACATTGATAAATAAACCAGATTACAACACAAAATATCTGTAAATAAAAAAATAAGTTTAATTGAACTTGAATCTTTAGTTATTGGTTATATTGTTTCAAGCAAATATCACTTTCAAGCTAAGATAATAATTCACAAGCTTAGTAATTTTGAGAACCTAGAATTTTGTGATAACTGAATAAATTAATTTTAAAAAAGTTTAAAGTTGAAATACAAAAATGTTAACATTCGTTTTTTTATTATTATATTATTAATAATTTAAAATTAAATAATTATGAACTCTGGAAAAAAATTTGACTAAATCTTACCTTAATGACTAATTATATTTACATAAAAAACTATTATTTAATTAATAATTTATTACTAAAAAATAGCCAATATTAATTCAAGATATATAATTTATCGCATTTAGTTCATAAAGTTCTTATAATTCATAAAATAAATATAATAATTTTAATATTATTTACAGTTGCTGACACACTTGGCCGTAAGTATATTTTTGCATTATAAAATCTTGAAGCTATGATATTTTGGTACTATGATTTTTCATTCAAAAAGTAAATTTTTCTTCTTCTGAATAGTTCATAATTTATATAGATATATACGTAAAAAAATACTTATTATTTCCAAAGAATTTCCTAACGTAATCTAAGAACAATAAATGAAATGTAATTTAAAATAAAGAAAAATTGCGTTTATTATTTAGTCGACAGTAAAACTTTCTGTAATAGCATATTATAACGTGTAAATAGCTCGATGGAATTTTTTCACCTTTATAGTCACTCAAATGATGCTTTATTCTAAAACGATACTTAAAAAATTAAAAAAAGGTTTTTTTTTTATTTTTAAATTTATTGTTCCGGCTACGAAGTTTGTTTGTATTGGTATATAAATGCAACTAATAATAATATTATGAAGCATGGGAAATTATCATTTATGATTTTTTTTGAATAACAATAAATTTGACATCAAAATATTTAAAAATAACATAACATGATATTGAATTTTCATTTCTATTAAGCAACATGATTTCTTGTTAATTTTGCAATATTTATTTTCAATGCTTTATAAAATTTGCTATACAGTCTCGCAGAAATTCTGAGAGCATGACAAATATGTCGTATCTAGAAAAATATCTTGTGGGTTACCTGAAGAAGTTTCATTAAAATATATATTTCAAAGGTACATAGTTGAAAGTCTTGTGGCCTTGCGGAATTTTGTTTTTAATGTAAATTTGTAAATTTTTCTTCTTTTTGTTTTCTACTTACAACTGTAAGCCTCATGCTATACTTTGCGGTGCATGAGGAGTATTAAGTCGTTTAAATAACATAAAAAATAAAAAGATACATAGTTTGTAGCCAGATAGAGTTTTTCAGATTTCCCTTAGCATATAAACACATTTGATAGTAAGTTGTACTTTCATAAATAAAAAAAATATAAAATGATATATAGATGGCATGTTCAGGAGCAATCAAATCTTTTTAAATAATTGTGTTTACTGTAGCAAGAGTATGGTTTTAACAATGTTCATTAATTATAACTTTCACACTGGTTGTTTTAAATACAAATTGTGTTATGCTTGCATGAAAATTAAAAATAACAATTTTATTAATAAGTAAAAAAAAACTAAATTTATTTTATTCCAATAGAGTTTTAAATGCTGAAAATTATAACTTCTTTAATTAGTTAAATTTTATTAACAAAATATAGAACTGATTATATTTAAATTAAAAATGTATGCTTCTTTGATGGGAATAACATACATTTCTTCTGTAGAATGTATTATTAGTTGATTAAATAAACAACAGAGTTTTTTATTTTTTTTAATACTAAATACAGTTTTTAAAAAAATTATTTGGTTTTAATATGCCTCTTCTATATTATAAAATAAATTGCGAAACATTACAGAAATATACTTGTGTTTAAATGATAATATAAATGTAGTAAAAAGCTAAGCTAATTAAAATGCAATTGTAAGTAAATTTAACTTTTCACAATTGCCATGGCTTAATTTTTTTTCAAATTTCGATAACTTACTCTTGTACATAACATTAATTTATTTGCATTTATTGGTTGACAAAATCATATTAAATTAAATTTATAAACCTAAGAATTAAAAAGAAAATTATATGATTCATTACCACATTAAAAATAAAAATAAAATAGTATATGGATAATCCGTAGTGGTTAGTAACTATGAAAAAGTCATAATTTCATATAATTAAGGTTGCAATCATTAGTTTTTTTGGAAATGCATAGGGTGAAGTGATCATGATAAGAAAGAAATATTTCGGAAACAAATATTTCTTATAGTCAGATTTTCAGCAGTTTCTTCTTTTCTATGTGTTGTTGTTAAATCTTCTTGTTAATTGTACATTATTTCCTAGATGTCGTGGATGGCGGTAAGTTTTGAGTCTATATTCAATTACAAAATTTCCTAATTTAAAATAAAAACTGAAACTTTTAATCTAGCAAGTCTTTTTATGATGATAAGCTAGTTAGTTAAAAGAAGAAAAAAAATTGTTATTTCATTCAGTTTTTTTATGATGATTAATTTTTTTCGTATTTTTCTTTAATATTTTTTACGCCATCAGAAATTAGTTTGACTGTTAAATAACATTTCTTGAAAATAACTTCACATTCGTATTATGCTTTAATTTATTTAAAATCTGCTTGCAAATTTAAACAAATAACTAAAATTATAGTTGAACTCCAATTTGTTATGGTTAAAATAATTAATCTCTATCTTATTTCTGAGAGTTCTAAATTTATATTCTAATATTCGATTAAATAAAAATTAACAATCCTTTCATAGTTGAGGCAATATTTTTCAATGTTTTATTGTGAAAACTTCTTCTTCTTCCGCAGAGGACACTATCAATAGGTAGCAAATTTTTCTCAGACCTGACCTACGTACACAAGCATAAATATATTTGAATACCTCTAGCTGTAAAAATCACATAACTCTTTAAAAAATTTATAAAAATAGTTATCTTTCTTAAAGGAATATTAATTAAAAAGAATATGAATGTAAAATATGGATGAAAAAAGCACATTTAGATATGCTAACAGCCATTGAAAAAGAAACACAACTCTAAAAATTTATAATCATTAATTATTTTAGACGCTTAACTATTATGAAAACAATAATCTTTCTTAACACTTACGAAATCTACTTTGTAACAAGATCAAATCCATCCCCACAACTGTTTATCAAAAATCGCATTGTATTCTTCTCATATTTACATGTTCTTTGGATTCTATGCCTCAAGCCAAATGTTGAAATATTTCTTTTCGCGCTAAATATATCATCTTTATTAACATAATAATGCTTTATGATAACAAATTTGTCAATTATTATATTTAAAAAAATCCAATTAAAAATACTAGAAAAAAATACATTTCATAAAACAAGGTACTCTCGTTTAATATGGATTTACGAAATAACGAAATTTTAATTTTTGAGCGGATGAATTTATATTAATGTTTGCCTCATATTTATAATTTTTCGTAAAAAAATTTACGGAAAATTAGTAACTTAATGTTTAATTTATTTAGGTTAATTTCCTGCTACATTGCGAAATAAAACTGATACTCAAATTGCTTTAACATTTTATTTTATATTTCAGTTGGAAATGGCTTATTAAGTAAAGTATTTTTGTATATTCTAAAACTTAATATAAAACTTCGGTTAAAAATACAATAACGTTATTCATTTAAAAAAAAAATTAAGTTAAGTTAGCTTTTAATTAGAAATACTCGGGAGTCGAGTTACACCAGATGCGAGTTTAGTCAAATTCGACTTGCTTTTTTTTATAATTAAATCAANAATCACAAATAAGCTAAAGAACTTTTGAGTTGATAGAAACAAAACTTGAAATTAATTTATATTTTTTAATTTCATAAGGATCCCATTATAGATCTTTGATATTCTGAATTCGATGCATCAAATTTAAAACGGTGATTTTGGCAAATAAGTTTACATGAGTTGAAAATTTTCTGATTTATTTAAACATATTTGTAATTAAGCATTTGCTCTAATTCAATGCTTATGTTTTGTAACTTTCTTGAAAATTTTCTATCTTAAAGAAGTTCGAAAAATTCATAAAGATTTTTAAAAAAAAATCATGTATACATACATATTTCTCTTCACTTTGAATTGGAACATACAACGTCTATAACAGCTTTCCATCTCACGCTATTTGGGGTCAGATACTTGCCATTCCTCCAATTCACTTATAATTGTGCGGTGCTAATTGTTTTTAGGTCTTCCCCTTCCTCTATTGTCCCTTGAGCGTAAAAATCAAATTTTTTGTTTCACTTTAAATTTCTATAATATATATATATTGTATATATATTGTATATATTGTATATATCTCATATATATATATTGTATTTATATAAATCTATTTCGCTTCATAAAACTAAAATAAAATTTTTCCTTGAATAAAATAATGACTTTTTCTTTTAGTTGCCGGTATTGTCAGAGGTTTTGGAAAATAAATTAAGGTAAAAAATGTTTGTTTTTTAATTTTCTTCATCTTATAATGTATATAACGATATTTTTCTTAATTTAATTTTTATGTCCAAAAACAAAAAAAGTTTATAAAATTATATAAATATATATTGTGTTAAAGCCATGCACAAATTTCAAATCAATAATAATAATTGTTTTTACTAAGCAAATTGAGGAAACAGAATTGACTTTTTAATAGTAAAACTTAACACATAGAGTTTGAAATGGTTTTAAGAACTGGTAATTTTTTTCTTAAAATAATTAGAAATACGTACAACTGATTCACAAATTATTGTTTGAGAGAATTCATAAAGTGTATGTATCGTCTTTTTTTTATCAAAATCCTTTTTTTTTTTGCTTATTTATTTGTTAATTTTTTTATTTCCTACTTTAATTTTGAAATCATTTACCACAATCATAAGGATCAAGATATTTAAGGAGTTCTATGTTGGTATTTAAATTTTTTTTTAAATTTTTCTTCGTTTAATCTTTGTTACTTTTTAGTTTTGTTATTTTAATCTTTGGTATTTTCTATTTTTGTCATTTGTATCTAAGTATTTCCATCTTCTACTTAAATTTACTTACTTATTTATTCACTATAAATTCAGAATTTCATTCTTGAAATTACCTACTTTTTGTTATAAAGGTGAAGATATTTCAAATGTTTTGAATGTGCGCGCTTTTGACGTCATCAACATTAAATGTCATTATCAAAGTTTATAAATCTAAGTTCATACATAAATCAACGTTATTAGAAATGTATTAAAACGCATATCATATTTATAACAATGCATATTATCTTATTTTAGGCATAAGCAGATTGCAGGGAACTGGACCTACACAAGATGGCTTGTGACAAAAGATAAAACAAAATGTTAAATTAAATTGCATGGAAATAAAGTTTTATAATTGAATGTTTGCATTTCATTCTTATTAAATTTTCTGATGGTCTGTAACTCTAGTTTTAACTGAAATAAAATTTATATAAAAAAACACATGGCGAAAAAACTCTGGAAAAACATCTATGTTAATGAGATTTCTGGTAAAATAAAAACATAATTCTGGTATTAAAGAACGAAATATGCGGTATTTAATCCATTCAAATGGTAATTTTCCCGTTTGCATTGTAGCGGTATACCCGATTTTCTGCATTTTCAAAATTTTAGTTTTCATTACCACAAATTTAATAATATTTACAAAGCGTGAAATCAAATTTAACCAAATGAATGTTTCTTATTTCATGTTAAAAGATAGATACCTTGATAAAATTACTAAATTTATCAAATTTTATCATCTATATATAAAGACCAAATGAAAGTCCGTATGCTGGGGAGAGTGTTCTTTATAGACCACTAAACCATCAAAGCGAAATCAATGAAATTTGGCATACAGAATTTGAAGCACAGGAAGTAATTGTCTTTATTGAACAAGGATGAGCAAAAAATGAAAAAAGAATTTTCCGATTAGTTAAGTGTTAGCCTTTATTTTATATTTAACTATAGACGACTTCATTTTCTCATATTTTAAAGATAACGTCTACGATTTTTGCTAGCTTATAGCTCTATCTGATCAAGAAAAAGAATTTATTCCTCGTATTTAAGTATTTTATATTCGCTGTGTCTGATAAATTCAACTAACAACATTAGCGACAACAACGTGGTAGCACACGCGGTCTACGTCACAAAATTTATACTTTTAAAATTATCTTATACCACTCGTTTTTTTAAAATTTTATGTAGGTCAAATATTTTAAAATATGTTAATAGTAATTACGTAAAACTAATGCATTCAAAAGCAAGATTAACGGGAAAATGGTAATAATTCGTTTAGAAGAAAAGTAAAATATTCCCATATTATTGTAGACGCCAATAATGCTTAATTTAGGCAATATGCGCATATTGAAGTAAGCTAAGTACTAAAAAGCAAAAGTAATGGAGTAAGGAAATTTATTCATCTGGAAGAATCATAAAATATCACCATAATTTTAATGACAGCAATTACGCTTAATTAATGTTGGAAATATGTATTAATTGAAATAAACAATTACGTATTCACTAAAAAACAAAGTTAATGGAGAAAAGATACTTATTCATTTTGGGAAACCATGAAAAACGCCATACCTTTATTTACGCTTATGATTAAATAATATTGATAATATTGAAATAAAATAAAATATGCTATGTACTAAAAAGCAAAGTAAATGACAAAGCAAAGTAAAAGGTTAATAGAAAATTCGTTTAGAAATACAATTGAAAATAGTCACTCCCAGATGACGCTAAATTAATATGCAATACTGGCGGTAATATGTAATATTGGTATAATGGTAATATTGGTATAATGGTAATATTGGTATTATGGTAATAGGTGCAGTTTTGAAAAGAATTCCACAGCATGTTTTCCTAAAATTTCAGAAAATATTTTCTTGCAGCGGAAGCAAGGATAGTGTGCTAATATTTCAATCAATTTAAATAAAAGAAATTTTTTCATACCCTACTTATACATAATTTATCAGTAAATTAAAAGTCACGTAGAGAATTGGTCATGCTCCAAATTTGCAAATTTGTTAACAAGTTCTAAAAACACTTTTTTTTGTTTGTTGTAAAAACGACCTTGACTTTATTTCGCTACCACTGACAAATGTATTTCACACTAAACTCAAGTACAAAAAGGTTATCTAATTAACACCAAATACACTAATGTACAGGTAATATTAATATATAGGTATAAAATTTTATATTGATATATTTAGTAGGTATTTAACTGAATACTTAGTGGATTTATAAGCGATACTTTGGAAGCAAGTGCTATACTGCCTTTCACAATTAATATGTACCGGAGAAAATTACTTATTAGTGGCAATAGCAACATGCCGAATAATGCTAAATACATTTTATATTTATGACTGGATAACTACAAAAAAGTATTTATGCTTAGTAAAACAACCGAATGGGCAACAGATAATACTAAATATAAATTTTTTTATTATTTCATCTGCATTAATTGAAGATAGTAGAAGAACCAGATAAGTGACATTTTCAGAGTTAAAAAATAGCTGCCTCCAAACAATTCTATTGGCAATTTAGCATTATATTTATTATTAAGGTGAACTATTTAATCACTAAGGTGGGACAAATAATTCTCTGCCGTGTTTTATTTACGACTGGTAATTTAAAATTAAAGTCATGCCAGTATACGTATGCGGTTTAGGTATTTTAAGATTAAAGGGAAGACAAAAACAGTTTCATTACATTGAACATACCTATAATGATTCTACCACTTTATGATATTCCGTAATTCCAATAATCATGTCACTTACACAAATTTGTTCGATTTCTTAGATACTTTTCAAAATCATAAAACAGTACTTAATTGCAATTAACCCAAGAAAAAAATGAGAAATAAAAATCTTATTTATATTGGATTTTAATATGAATTATTCAGATTCAATGGTTAAGGTTTTTTTTGACATTTATTGGCGTCAATATTTATTCGAAAAATTTGTTTCGAATATGTATTTTGTCCCGTAAACATTAAGCTCAATATGCATTAAATATAATTATGGCATTAAATATAATTTTAATGCAATTTTTTCTTTTTCAAATACGAGGGAACTCTATAAATATTTTAGAAATGAATTTTTTGCCAAATATTATATTTATATTGTTGTCGTAAAAAAACTAGGTGGCAGCACCATCTATTTCCCTGTGAACATTTTCATGAGTAGTAAAAAAATAAAACCTTATTATTTTCTCCAATTGAAAAATGGAGTTGAATCGGCATGAGTGGAGCAATATGAATTTTCAAGATATTTTCTAAAAGGATATAAGGAAATGAACGTTTCCGAAGTATACCAACCAGACCTTTCAATGCAGCGCTAAAACATCTGAAATATATATATATATATATATATACGAGGGTTCCTATTTATATTTCTGGCCTTGGCAACAGTAAGTGTTGCTAGGCGACCGCAGACGATTTTAATCGAAAGTTTGATATTTTTAAACATAAATTCAGCAGACGATTTACCATTATAGCTTCATTTGTGTTGTTGACAGTNCATGGGGAAAAAAGTATGGTTAAAACTACCGGAATATAGAAAACTTTTGAGTGTTTTGGCTCTATAGGAACCCCAAAAAGCTCGGTAATTTTTTTCGTAGCGCTATGATAATGATTTTGGTAAAATTAACAATAAAATACTCTTTTATAATACGTGATAATATTTGGTAAACGTGGTTCAACTTGGTAATTTTATAATGAAACCTTAGACAATTTATGCGGTTAAATTAACTTTCAAGTTTTTTTTTATATGCTAAATTTTTGGTAATAAGAACAATCATTTTAAAGACCTATATTTTTGGCATACCGTTAACATTTTAATGAAAAACTACTTTATGAGTGGTTTAAATAATGTATATTTTAGTTTCTTAACTAGAATTTTTGTTTATTTTTTTTAAAAATTGCGTAGTCTTCTTTTTGCCAGAAATGTCCTCATTGGTCGTAAACATACAGTATGTTGTTTATTAGAATTAATTTCTCCTTCCATGTAAAATTTAAAAAAAAAAGTATTGATCTAATTCGTGTTTTTTTTTCAGTTAGAATTTTTTTAGATATTAAAACTCATTGGAGTGTTCAAATCATCTCTTAAATTTCTCTAGTGTAGTTCAAATTTATCTCTTAACGTACATTTGCTAATACAATTTAAAAAATAAATAAACCGTTTATTTTTCGTATGCTATTATTTTTCGTTGTGTTGAACTGTTATTTTTTCAAATTAAAATATAAAGTACCTTTATAATATATTTTAAGTATACTTCTTTTATATTTCCCCTTTATATGTACGTAAAATATTTAAAATCTATTCTAGTCTTTTATTGTCTAATTATAACACTTCTCGCAATTAGGCCTTCATAACAAAATATATTATTATTATATTATAAATTATTATTATATATTATTATTATTATAAATATATTATTATGTATATTATTCAAAGCAAAATATATTATATATTATTATTAAAGCATATTATAAAAGTTTAATATAAAGTTAAGGATAAAAGTTTTCTAAATCACAAATGTTGTTATATTCATTTAAAAAAATAATATTCCAACGAATAAACACTTATTTTATGTGGCAATATATAAAAGATGCAATGTAAAAGAAATCTAGAAAGAAAGTTCTAATCACCATTTCTTATATGCAAAAAGAAAAAACATACTCTTAATAATCGCACTGCATGTCAAAAAAGATTAGGATATTTTAAAAATATATGGTGCTTAAGGAGTAAGCTAATAAATTATTGTTTTAAATCGGAGTCCGATGGTCAACTGAACAGTCTGGAAGAGAGGGGGGGGGCTTCAAAATATAATGTATATAGTTATATAAAAAAATGATCTAAATTGTTGGAAAATATGTTTAAAATATTATATTCATAAAATATGCAAAGTAAAATGTTCTAGAAAAACTGTGTGTCTTTCATAATTAAACTTGAAAATAAATAATATATTTTTTATTTGTAAGATGTTTTATTTATAAGATGTATTCTTATTCCTTTTTGATCAAAACGTAATTTTCGACAGAAACGTTATTAGTACACTCAATGCACAAATTTATTCTTTTTTTTAAATTTTTTATACAGTTGATAGAAAGTATTTACCCTAAACTTCTGTTATCTTTAACAATGATCGGCCAAATTTAATAGAAAATGTCCATACTTAGAATTAGCGAGTATTTTCTTCTCGAGACTCCGCTTTACATATAAATATATATATATTTTTTTTTTAAAAAAAAAGAAGGATAAAAAAAAATAATTTTATTGAGTGAGATTTTTTCAATATTATTTCAATAAAGTCATATTTTATTTTATTTTATTTTATTACCGTCATAAAACAGACAATCGAATTTTTTCGGGGTT